ATAGTTTGAGAAGTATTGGTTTAACACCTATTCATTTAAGCAGTTCTTATTGTGCATGTACTCTGTGCCAGGAATTATGCTAGGGAGACAGAGATGAATGAAACAAACTTCTTGTTCTCAATAAACTTATGATCTAATTGGGGATAAACACTCCAAAACAACTGATTATAAAATAATATGGAAGAGGCTAAATTTAGGGTTGAACAAAATGTTATTAAGCGAAAGAAAATGGAATTAAGTCACCTATCCAGGGTTAAACAGAATGGAATGAGCTCTAGGGAAGGCTTCATTGAAGACATAACATTAGATCTGACCTTGAAGGATGACTGAGGTTTTGCCAGCCATGGAAGACAAGAAGGGCACTGCAGGCAGAGAGAACAGTGTATACAGTGGCATATACACATAAAAGGTAGAGAAAAAAGTATTGTTTCTCTGGAGCATGGGGTCTGTGGAGGTAAGGTAGAGAAGGAGGATAAAGAGGTTAGCAGGGTCCTCAATTAATGTTGGCATATCCTATAGGCAGTAGGGAGCCACTGCAAGTTTCTAATCTTGGAGGGGAATTGTAGAAGAAGGTTTAACATGATGAGATTTTCGCTTTAGAAAATCATTCTGGAGAAGTTTCTAGATTTTTTGATGATGGCCATTCTGACTGGTGTGAGATGATATCTCATTGTAGTTTTGATTTGCATTTCTCTAATGATTAATGATGTTGAGCATTCTTTCACGTGTTTGTTTGCAGTCTGTATATCTTCTTTGGAGAAATGTCTGTTTAGGTCTTCTGCCCAGTTTTGGATTGGGTTGTTTGTTTTTTTGTTATTGAGCTGCATGAGCTGCTTGTAAATTTTGGAGATTAATCCTTTATCAGTTGCTTCATGTGCAAATATTTTCTCCCACTCTTAGGGTTGTCTTTTGGTCTTGTTTATGGTTTCCTTTGCTGTGCAAAAGCTTTGAAGTTTCATTAGGTCCCATTTGTTTATTTTTGTTTTTATTTCCATTTCTCTAGGACGTGGGTCAAAAAGTTGATTGGATGGCTAGTTTAGAGAGAGACTGGACTAGGGAAAAATAGGAGCTTATTACAGTCATCCTGGTATGGGTTGAGTAAGCTGTGGACTAGGACAGATGCATTGGGGACAGAGAAGGGATGGATTTCGAAGACATTTCAGAGCAAGAAACAATAAGATTCAGTGAGTGAGTGGTCATTAAGGGTAAGTGAGGAGAAGATGTAGAGGCTAATTCTGAGGCTAATGAAAATACCATCATGTAGCATTTGTAACGTGCTTTTAACTTTTTAACATCTAACATCTATGATCTCATTTGATCTTCCAACCCTTCTGAGGTAGGTTAAAGAATATATTTTTCCCTGTTTGACAGATTCAGTCCAGAGAATTAAGTGATTCGCCCAGAGTTTCATAGCTCATTAATGGCAGAATCCAGACTAGAATCCAGACATCCTGACGCCTAATCATGTGCTTTTCTCACTCCATCGCGATGTTGTACTGAAAAAGTGTTTGACCTGCTGCTCACAGTTAATCGGAAACATTTGCTCTGCATATTACTAGCGGGGGGAAAAAAGAGGAGAGAAGGCACCCAGTGAGATGAGCACCAACTACTTTTGAGTCAATTGAAACTTCAGTATTAGTAATAATAACTGTATAATAACAGTAATAAAATAAATTAATGCTTATTGAGGGCTTACTATGTCCCAGCCATAGTTCTCATCATTTTATATAAAATCAACTGATTTAATTCTCTTAACAACCTTCTGAGGTCAGTCCTATGATTGTCTTCCTGTTATAGATGAGGAAACTGAGGCAGGAAGTTGCCCAAGCTCATATAGCCAATAAGTGTCAGGTCAGATGTTTTAGCTAGACAATCTGAAAACATAGTGTTTTTTCCTTTCTCTGTTCAGCAACAATCTTACCTTCTTCCTACTTTTCTTTTTCAAAGACTCCCTGAACCCATCAGGCTCCCATCAGAAAGAGTATCTAGGCATCAGGAGAATTGTATTTTTTAAATTAAATTAAATTAAATTAATTTTTTATTGAGGTATAATTGACACATAACATTATATTAGTTTCAGATGTACACCATAATGATTTTATATGTGTATACAATGAGAAATTACCACCACCATAATTCTAGGAGAACTGTATTCTTTTCCCAGTCATATCGCTAACTGTTGACCTTGATAATATCACAGCCTCTCTACATCTTTTTATCACCTGTTAATGTCAGTTTCATAATATTAATATCTGTTTGTTAATCTCATTAAATTACTTAGAAGATGATATGAGGTAATATATGTTCAAGAATAAGATAAACTGTAAAGTGTATAAAGTGTTTTATAATTTTAAGAACTAGGAAGATATAAATTCACATAGTAATGTTGCTTGCGTACACGTCTTTCTTCCCGCCTAGACAGTGAATTCTTTGAGGGGAAGGATCAAATATGCTTTTATTTGACCACCGCATCTCTGGCAATACCACAGTACTGGCTGTATAGTAGGTAGTTAATAAATGCATATTAATTGAATGATATATGTACAGATGCTTGAATGCATGGGTGAGAGAGCAACCTTGGAAGGCACTATTTAAGAAGCAAGTAGGCATTTCAATTCGTGGCGTCTTAGGCTCACGTGATCCAGACTTCACAATGACAGCTAACGTTTATTGTTCTCTAACTGTAGGCCAGGCACTTTTCTAAGTGCTTTACATGAATTGAGTCATACAGTTCTTATAACCAAGCTATGAAGTCACATTCAACACATCCTTTTTAGCTCTCACCTGTATTGTAAAAGTGTGTAGACTTTGTAAACAGAGATTTAAATGGCTTCTGAGCATTCTTCTCTGAAACATCTACTTCAGTAACATCATTGGTAACAGTTTCCTACATAATATCCCTAAAACTTCCCAAGATTCCCAAGTGGTAGAATGAAAGTCTGAATCCCAAAAGTTTGGCTCCAGGGCCTGTGCTCTAAATAGTTATACTTCACTGCCTTTCCTCAAGTGAAATCCCAAATCCTGTGAATGGGGTGTGGCGTCTTTTTCTTAAATTCCTATTGGAAAATATCACTTGGAAACTATTTTTCAGTTTGAAAACTTTCTCCTCAATTTCTAACAGAACTATCGTAGTTTCAAACCAGTCTTTATTTGCTTTCCAGGGTGAAGCAAAGTAAGCTTCACTACCCAGCTGCCTAGGATGAGGTGCACAGTGGAATGCTTCTCACAATGCCTGTGAGTGATCAGGTGGAGAAGTGATAGTCAACCTTAGGAGTTTTCAACAATCAAGAATTGATTTCATTCCACAGCACCCTCATAGAGTTCATTTTTATATTTAAAATGAATTAATATCAGTGTTGAATTAGATTATCTTTGGGGTTTAGATGCCTAGAAACAGAATGTTAGTGCTGGAAGGGCCATAGCTATGTTAACTAGCTGCTATGTGTGTCTACTTTTCCAGTCAAAGCTAACATTTAAAGTCAGGCAGATAGATCTATATATATTGATCTTGAGGAATGTCCATGATATATTGTCAAGTGGAAAAAGCAAGTTGCAGAGTAAATTGATGATATTATTCTATTTTTTTAAGAAAATAAAGAAAATATATATAACACCTAGATGCAGAATGTTAAGACTAGAGAGATCCTTGGGTAACAAAACACAACCTTCCTATTATATTGATGAGCAAATCTGAGGGCCAAAGAGTGCTATAACTAAGGTCACACAGCTAGTTAGTAGCAGAATCAATTCTGCAGCCCTGTCTCCAAACTCCACTATGTCACTCTGTCTATAGGTTGTGCCTGTACCAACAAGTCAATAAAGAGACAAAGCATGTAGTGACAGAGCTACCATTTTGTAGTAGGGGCACCATTAACAAAAATATGATTCTCATTTTAAGCTGCAAATAGAGAGCTGTAATAAAGAGTAGAATATTTCTCCCCCCAAAAGCAGGGTCATTAAAATGAGTACTCTGAATATTTCTCCTAATTTCTGAATTTCTCTCTACTTGAAGGCTCTATTGTTTTCTCCTGTAAAATTTTATTGATTTCACCAATTTAACTTTATTTCACAATGTTAATTTGAAATGTTTTGCATAATGTATGAAACTTGCCCTGGCACCTAGTACCTAGTTCCTGGTTGAAAGTAGTAAGTTAATATTTGTTGAATGAATAAATCAAAGATTTAAATCACTTGGATTTTTTTTCTAAATATTTTTTAATTTCTTGATATTAAAACATGGTTTCAGTGGCTGAGAATACCATAATTTAAAAAAATGTATAGGAGATGGAATTTGAATGAATGTTGCATTTATTTGAAAATTATGCTATTTTGATAAGTGATTTACTCATTCTATTTTTTTTCTCATTGTTAACATGAGGGGTGGATTATGGTGACTTTTCTTACCAATTTTACAGAGGTGTTAGGAATACAGAATGAAATAATATATTTGAAAGAAGTTTAGAAAAAGAAAAAAATGAAACACTCTACACTAATGTAGGAAATGTCTATGATAAAATTTTCTCATGATTCTGAGGTTAAGTAGAGTAAGGGATTGTGCTTCTACAACAGGGTTTGCCTTCAATAAAGTTGTAAATTTTCTGACATTTGTCTTCTGACCTTTTATTACACCATTCTTTGTCCTATTTTCCAATTTCAGTTATGCCTCGCCTCCTGCTAACAGTCATAGGAGATTCTCTTGCTGCTTAGGTCTCTTCTGTCAGTGAGGAAATGATTCTGATAAATTTATTTACCTGAAGTTGAGTAACTTAATGGGTGGCTGACCACTAATGTGTTATATGTAAAGAAAGAGTAAAAAAAATGCCTGTAATGGAAATTCAAGTCTCAGTAAGAATAATACTTTGGGGTGGGAGCACTTCCTGAAGCTTCTCATATAATGATCACCTACTCTACCAAGGGTAAAGTCAGACGTTTTAAACAGTTTTTTCTGTCAGTGAAGATGTAGCTGAATGTTATTTTAGAAGTTTAGAAGCAAAGAAGGCTTATGCCCTTTTTGCCATAACTTTCCTCATTGCCCCTTTAACATCCTTATTCCTCAGGCTATATATTAGGGGTTTCAGCATGGGTGTCAAAGCCCCATAAAACACTGAGGTAAACTTGTCCTTGTCAGGGGATGACTTGGACTGTGGTTTCATAATACATGGAAATGGCTGCCCCATAGAAGATTGCCACCACAGTCAAATGAGAACCACAGGTAGAAAAGGCCTGAACGAATCCTTAGAACAGCAGTGGCAATTCGGACATAGGAGAGGAGAAACAACCCAAAGGGTAGGAGCAGGGAAAATACTTGTGGTGATCATAAGCTTATTGAGGCTGGTATCAGAACAAGCCAGCTTAAGAAGGGAGGGAATTTCACAGACAAAATGGTTGATAACATTAGCCCCACAGAAATGAAGTTGCAGGGATAAGATGAGCATGGCAGTGAGCACAAGTGATGCCCCCCATGAGGTAGCAGCCAGCCAAACACACACTGAGCCATTCATGACCACAGAATAGCGTAGGGGATTGCTGATAGCAACCACACAATCATAGGCCATGACAGCCAACAGGAGGCACTCTGCTGTGGCCAAGACCAAGGAGACACTTATTTGGGTCAAACAATCGTGGGTAAGAGAGGTAGGGATGGGTAGAGAAACAATGCACCAAGGCCTGGGGCATGGAGACTGTTCCATAGCAAAGGTCTAAGAAAGACAGATTACTAAGGAAGAAGTACATTGGAGTGTGGAGGTGGGGGTCAGTGTGGATAAGAAAGATGATAAGTCCATTCCCCAATAACGTTCTGAGGTAAGTTATCGGTACCAATGTGAAAAATGTGACTCTCCATTCAGGATAGTTAGAGATTCCAATAAGAAGAAACTCAAATACTGCTGTAGCATTGTCCATGGCCATCCTTCCCACTTGGCACTATTCACTGGATGGGTGCCAATGTAGTTGCCTAATTTTACCTGAAAGAATGAGAATAAAGATGGAGGGATGGTATGAGAAAGTTGGAACTAACTAGGGTGTACAGGATCATTCTCGTTGTCCTCTTCAAAAGATATAAGAATACAAATGAGATATCTATAATGGAAACAGAGGCAAAGCAAAAAATCTACTCCCTCCCGTGGAAAACAGCAAATTCCCCATCCTTTTGAAATGGTTATATGAAAAGTTCTGCAACCCACTTTTGCCAGATACTTTTTAGTATCATTTTTTTCCAAGTAAGAAGAGAGGAGAAGGAGGGCATCTTCCTGCTTCTCTCACTCGTTCTCCATTTTCAAAGACAAATCTGATTCACAGAGATGGTTGAACCTCTGTCAGCTTGAGTTACTAATCTCCACCAAGAGGGTACCTTCTGATAGTCTTAGCTAAAATATTGCCTATTCTTGTGTCTGTCTGTCACTCCTAGATTGTTCATACCTCCATTTTCCCATTGTGCTAGTATCTACCACGGTGCTTGTCCTAGAGTCCTGCCAAGTATTTCTTTTCTAAAAATAAATTTCTTTATTTATTTTTGGCTGCATTGGGTCTTCGTTGCTGCACGCGGGCTTTCTCTAGTTGCGGCGAGCGGGGGCTACTCCTCATTGTGGTGTGTGGGCTTCTCATTGCAGTGGCTTCTCTTGTTGCGGAGCACAGGCTCTAGGCACGTGGGCTTCAGTAGTTGTGGCACGCGGGCTCTAGAGCGCAGGCTCAGTAGTTGTGGTGCACAGGCTTAGTTGCTCTGCGGCATGTAGGATCTTCCTGGAGCAGGGATCGAACCAATGTCACCTGCATTGGCAGGTGGATTCTTAACTACTGCACCACCAGGGAAGTCCCCAAATATTTCTTTGATCTAAACTGATATTATGTAAATACAGTATGTCATGGAACCCTTGAGGTCTATGAAAACCCTCTGCTAATGTCTGTGGTTGGAGTTACATTTCCAGGTCCTCTGGTGTTTTCCGTGTTGTGATTGCTGAGCCCCAGTTAGCAATGTGAAAATCTAATGTGATGTTTCTAAAAGTATGAGTGGTAAGGAGTGACCAGCCTACCTGAAAAGTCACTCTCTTCTCACCCTCATCACTCTCTTTTCCCTCATGCTGCTTAATTTTCCTTATAGCACATTCCAATATTTGAAACTACATTAATGATTTGATTGTTTATTACCTCAGTGGTCCCCAACCTTTTAGGCACCAGGGACCGGTTTCCTGGAAGACAGTTTTTCCTCGGATGGGGCGGGGTGTGCTGGGGGATGGTTCAGGCAGTAATGCGAGTGAAGGTTCAGGTGGTAATGCGAGCGATGGGGAGCAGCAGATGAAGCTTCACTTGCTCGCCCGCCGCTCACCTCCTGCTGTGTGGCCCGGTTCCTAGCAGGCCAGTGGACCGGTACCGGTCTGCAGCCCAGGGGTTGGGGACTCCTGTATTACTCGATTACTTGTCTCCCACTCGAATGTAAATTTACTGAGAACAGAACCTTGTCTGCTTTGTTTACTGGCTTATCCCTAGTATCTAGAACAGTGCCTGGGGCATCATAAGGAACTGATATCGAATGAATAAATGAACGTATAAAGTCCTGGGCTGTTACAGATATTATTCAGAATTTAACTACTCCTCTTGCCACCTGCACTGCCATCCCTTATTCCAAGTCATTGTCATTATTCACCTGAATTTTGTCAATAACTTCCTTATTGGTTCCCCTGTTTCTGGCTTTGCCTCCATTCAGTTCAAATGATTCAGTTATATTGTAAGTCAGATCAGGTTACTCTTCCATTAAAAAAATTCAATAGCTTCTCATTTCAACCTAATTAAACACCAACCTCCTTACTATGACCTATCAGGCACTACATGGTTTGCCTCCCCTTTACCTCTCTGACCTCTGTTCCTACTACTCTTTTCCTTGCTCACTTTGTTCTAGTCACACTGGCCTCTTCACTGTTCCTTAAACACTCATGGCACATCCCTTTCTCAGAGCCTTTGATCTCTTTGATCTCGCTGCTCCATATTTATGAAACCAAGATCCTTGTATGGCTTACCTTCTCACTTCTCTCAGGTCTTTACTCACAATGCATCTTTTTAGTCAGTTCTTCTTTGGCCACCCTGTCTAAAAGCTCATCTCTAGCCCTTGGCATTTTATGTTTCCCTTTACAATTCTCTTTAGAATTATCATTTCTAGCATCTTGTATATTTTATCTATTAATTATGTTTATTGATTGTGTCTCTCAAATAGAATGCATACTCAGTGAAGTCACTGCTGTATGCCCAAAACCTAGAATGGTGCCTGGTGCATGGAAGGTGCTTAAGAATTATTTGCTGAATGAATGTGTGAATGGAACTCTTTAGCTTTTCCACATTGAAAGACAGCCTCTCTTTTTCCATCTGCCTCTTCCCTAGATATTGCTGTTTATATGGCAAGCACCCCCTAATGTGTATGTGCTCCTTCATTAGCTTAACTCTCCCGTTTCTTCTAATCCCTTCCTTGAAGCTTCTGCTACTCACTGGCTATTTCTCTGGATAAGTTTCTTCCCCTCATTGGCTTAGATTTTTATTTGCAATCTAGTTAAACTAAGTGATCTCTAAGAGCCCTTCTAGCTCTAACATGCTAGGATTCTCTGATTTCCCTCAGTTAAACGGAAGACAAAACAAAACTTAACACTCCTCAGAATATGAGGAATCTACTACATTTTCCTCCATTGTTGGAAATTCATGTGGGCTACAGAAGGGGTTTACTAAGGGATGAAGTTTCTCTAACCATCTTTGAACTGGGAGACTCGCTTGTCCTTAAAAGTCTTTAGCAAAGAAGATTCTACAATTCCCCCACTTCCCTGTCCTGGAGTCCAAGTAACCTGTCCCTGTGTCTAGTTCTCTACTTTGTTCAGCCTCTCAGACAGGCTAAGTACATGAGAATGGTAAATTTATGGAAGTGAAAGTGTATGCCACTTGTGAAGTGTCAAACACATGTAAGGGAGGGAGAAGATAGTAACCTGCCTTCACAGGAGTGTCCTCAGATCTTGAGAGACCTAGTGAGATAATCATTTCCACAGAGGGAAAATGCAGAAAGATGAGAGTCACATGGCTATGTGAAACAATGCACTGAAGCCTGTTATATTTTAAGTAAGTACAGTCATACCTTAAATTTCTTTGTGGTCTATGTTTAACTCCCAATTACCTATATATGGGCCATTCACAGTAGAATATCTAAAAAGATGATGGACAAGCTGCAGATGGGAAGATGAACTGGTTTTGCATAGAAGTAGATGGCTGATTATTATGCCATTTAAAAGTCTCTGTTGCTCCTAGAACTCTATAAAGCACACTGATTTTGCTGTTAAATATTGATAAATAAATGTTTTCCCTCCTTATATGAACCTATAATTCTTAATGACCAGCAGGATGTATTTTATTTCTCTGGTATTGAGGTATTATTTATAGAGTCTATCCCTCAGTCTTTCATGAGCCTAGTTGAATAAATTGATGAGCGAGTTGATTAAAAATTGGTGATCTGTCTATGGTTGCGGGAAGACTTGTTTTTAATGGTGTTAAGCTTACTGATAGAGATTGGGATCGAACCCATGACCTTGCCTCCATTAGTACTGTGTCTGAACCTATGGAATTAAAATTGATGACAACTTCCCTTTCACACTTAAAGGCTACTCAGCATCTAAACTGAGGGACCTATTTATCATTTAGTCTGGGCCCTGTTCTCCAAGGCAGTGCTGATTGTCTCATCGTAAAATTATCGTTAAAAGATTCCTGGAAAACTGGACTTAGAATGTTTCCCATCTTAGTCTTGTTGCCTGCAATTATTTATATAGCCTAACTTTTCTTTCAACTAACAGCTGCCCTCTTGCCTTCCTGGAGTTTGCCCATGTCCGATAAATGGTTAGGGGTTAAAAAAAAAGTGGGAGGGGGAATGAAAGAAACTGGAGCATTTTCCTGTTACTGACTTACCATTGGAGGTTCCTCTCAAGTGCCAGTAGGTGGAGCAGAATGAGACTGCTGAAAATACCAAGTTTCCAACAGTTGTCAGGTTTGGAACATGACGATCTCCGTGCAAACTCTCCTGGTGAGATTTCAGAAGCCTTCCCAGCTTCTCAAACTCTCAAATGCCTGGAAACCTTTGAAGAAAAAAAATACTTTTTTGGTTAGATCAAATTACAATTGCCAAAAACTTTAATGTGCAGCCCTTGGTGATGGTATCTGATTAAATTATTTAATTTCTTAGGCAAACATTGCTTTCACTGATCTTTGACTCATGTACATCTTTGTTCTATCTTCCCTGGAAAAGTTATAACAAGGACGATTGAGGTCATTTGAATACTTTGCATCAAGACCCTTAGGTTATTTCAATTTTCCACCTGCTAGATTAGGCACCTTTTGCCTCTTGGCAATATTTATCTATCTGTTATCTTATCTTGATGAAGTGGAACACAATTAAACCAAATTGTCACTTTCTTTAAAAAGAGGGAAATGATAATAAAACATGCTGCATCCAGGGCTTTAAACTAAATTGGATGATTTCAAGGAAGTGTCCTGGGCTCTGTGTATACCCTACCCAGTTTCCTACTCTTTCTCCACTACCTATTTTCAGTGCCGGAGTGTCAAAGTATACAACCTGAAGACTCCAAGGTCCTGAGCATCCCTCGGTCAGCAAAAAGATCTAATGACAGTTACTCTACCCACTAAGGCTGGACAATAGACTCAGGTGTTTCAAAAGCATTAAACTGGAGTTGAAGCGCAAAGCTGTTTGGTTACCCCTCACTTGTCCAGAAAATATAACTACCAGAACCTGCCTTTCATTGAGCAGTTTGGTTTTTAGAAATTGTGCCGTTCCTCCCCTTCTCTTGATCTAGGTTAAGGATCCATTGATATATGTTTACCCGGAAGCTGTCACCAGAGCTCTATCTCTGGGAGCGTAGTTTGTTCTGAACTAA